TTTTCAATGTTAGATTTCAACTCCCTTGAGATGATTTTATGTTGCTGAAAGCCACTTTATTCTTGACGTTTTTGTCATGTTTATGTTTTATACTCATAGCAATTCATATACTCCTGTAAGGATTTTATACAAGGAGATAAATGCTAAGACATAATATTGAATAACTACTTGAATCCCTGCGTATAGTAGACATTATTGCCTCCACTGCAGAGCTCCATCAGAGTGTAGAGGCAGCCTACACAAGGTCCAAGAACAACTTCGGGAAGAGCCAGAAATAAAATGATCCCGACCCCACCCCGGTTTCTCTACTAAAACACATTTTTCATAAATAACTTACATAGTGTTTACAATTCTGTCAGAAATTAGTAGTTACAATTGTAATACTCTCACCCTGTTTGCAGTTCCTGACTTCCAAATACAGACAAGAGGGAAATTTTGCCACAGTTCAGGCTGGTTATGGTTTTCTGCAAATACCCGGAGCTAAAGATAACCAACCCCTGTGACTAAGATTGCCCTCTGTGTGCTTGATGAGGTGTTGAATTACCTTTTAAAAATGCCTCAAAGTGTTTCTCAACTACCCTGTGACTGACTGACAAGTTGAAGGCCAGTGAAACCAGAAGGATTCCTTGTGTATGTGTGCAAGACGTGTGATATTCTATCATTTTTATTTGACTTTGGGGTGTGCATATCCTGTTCAAGGATTGTATCTGTACGTGTGGCTATTCAGTAAGTTATGTTTACTGTGATGTTATTTAAAACATCCATGACAAAATAACAAATATCCTGGATGTTTCAAAGCAAAGTCCAGAATAACTGCTGCCCTTCCTTTCTGAGCAATATCAGCACTGGGAGAGAATTCTGTGTAGTTAATAGGAATGTAAAAATTCTCATCCATCGGACAACAGCACGAGAGAACAGAATGTACGTGCCAGCCTGGAAAAAGACAGCAATGTTCATCACACCGGTTGATGGGTGGGGTTATTTCAATAAGCCATGGACCAATGTGTGTGTTTCATGAATGTTGATGGAAACTCCCTTTGCAGTAATAACAGTACATTCTATAGCACATTATGGTTTACAAAGCACTTCCCAATGTACAGCTGTGATGGTGGAAAGAGCTAGTTCTCTCCAGTCTCCCCACACTGGCCACCACACCCTGTGCTTGCCCTTTCACGGGCTCGGTTCCTCCATCAGTGAGGGCAGGGAAGCTCTCATGCCTCAGGATCTCGCGGGGAGTGAATGGGATTTTGCAGAACTATGCGAGCTTGTATTCAGTACTTAGTCCTGAATTCTCACACCACCCTGAAGGGGGTTAGATAAGGAAACTGAGGCTTAGAAAGTTTCAACAATGTTGCCAAAGTTATGAAATTCCCACATGGAAAAGACGATCTGCATTTTCTGCTTCTTCTTGGAATACTTTCCCCAGTGCTTATGGCATTCACATTAAGTAATATCTTAGATTCAGCACCGTGTTTTTCAGCACCATTTGGGATCAGAAAACAGATACATGGAGAAGGAGAAATGGCTCCCAAAACTCTGCTTAGAAGGTGGCCAGCAGTGGGGAAAATGGGATTGGGGCTTGGAAATCCATCTTCTGGTCCCAGGGTGCTCTCGGCAGAGTTGTGTCCCCCATAAGTCCAACAAGCCTTTCTTCTCCCTTTTGTCTGCTTTTGTTTTTCTTGGTGAAATAAGTGAACCTGCCTTACTTTCAGAGTTACAGTGAGCCTCAAATAAGATTATTCACTTAGCAATTCTGATAATGTCTACTGAGTGTGCACATCTGCATAGAAAAGCTTCTGATGGGTGGCACCTGACATTTATCCTCAGCGTCTAAGACTGGTGGGGCTGCACACACCCACACCCACACCCAAACACGCCCGTGGGTGAGAGTAAATGCTGGAATTAGTGGCCATATGTATTAATGCTATCTACACACTATGTACTATATTTTTCATTTTCTGTCCTTATTTGCTGTTCTTCCATTAGGTAACAGTTGTGAGAATATAAATGTATCTGTGTTCCAGAATTACTGAATACTTCTGTGCCCACTCTGGTTTTGGTTGCTAGGAATGCAGTGGGCAAGATGGACAAAGTCTCTCCCCAGTAGGGCTGGCATTCAACCAGTGCCAGTCAGAGAAGAAAATAACACCAAGATGGCAGATAAGGAATTTCAGATGAAGATTAAGTACTGTGACGAGTCTAGTGCCTGAGCTCAGTTCTTCAGATTCAGTGGTCAGGGTAGGCCCTTTCAAACACTGACTTCAAAATGAAGAGTTAACCATGCAAGAATCTAGGGAGATAGTTGCAGGTGGAGGGAATGGATAATGCTAAGGCCCAAAGAAAAGAATCAGCATGTCACCCTCAAGAGGACATCAGAAAGGCCATTGTGGCCAGATGAGCCATGACAGGGGAGCTTTTAGAGGCAGGTGAGCCCCTACTACAAAGGACCTGGTAGGCCACTGGTGTTAGGAATTGCTTTTGGCCACATGTAACTACACCATCCACAGGGACTTAATCTAGTAGGAGTTTGTTTTCCACACAAGCCTCAAGGAGAGGACCGCTGCTCTGCAAAGCCTCCATAGAACCTCAAAGTCCCTCCTGCCTCTGATCTTACTGCTCTGCCACCTTTAGCATTAGGCTTTCATACCTTTGGTTGCCTCATGGTTGCAGTATGATTGCTCTGCCTTCTGCCTGAATTAAAGGTTGTATAAATAATGAATAATAAACAGGAGGAAAGATAATCCTTATATCCAGAATGCAAAAATTCCCCAGGTGTCACCTAACAAACTAACACTTGCATTTTAATAACCAGAACTGTGTCACTTAGCCATCCCTAGCTGCAAGGGAAGCTGAGGAATATGGGGGGGCGGGGAGGGGTTTCAAGCTACATTCCTTAAATAAACTACAGTATTTTCTTCAGTAGGAATATTAATTAGACGGGTGCTCCACACTGTAATGAGAGGTTTGGAATCTATTCTAGATGGGAAGGTATTTGTGAGTTGGTGGGTAAATCTGGAGTTTTGCTTTGAACTTGTAAAACTAGACATGGCTATCACATAATTGTCCCCATCGCTGCACTCCCAGGACAGATCTCAGGCAAAGACAGAGTCCTCACAGGCCTCAGGGAAACCCAGTGGTGTCTGGGACCACTAGAGCCCTTCAATAGTTTGGCTTCTTCCTCAGAAAACTCCTTCTTTTATCCCAGGGTTCCCTTGCAATGCCATGTCATTAAATAGAAGATGCCATCATGTGTAACATGAAACTTTATGTACCACTGGGGGGAAATTGCAGCCAAATTCACAAGAACACAATGTTTTCTAACATAGAATTTTTATTTTATTCTTCTTAGAAAAACTTCTTTTAAGACCTGACTGTTCGACCATACAGCACTATTGCACATAGATTAAAAAATATTCACAAAATTAATTGGTTATTCTTAAAGCTTCTTTGCATTCAGAATCCAAGTTGTTGTCTGTAAACTTTCTCGTTCTGCTCCTCCAACCTCCAAGTCTGCTGATCTTGCAGTATCTCTTAAGAGTCTGCTAGTATGGACTTCAGGATTTTCTTCTAAGCTGCTGCTATGTGTCTACATTTTGATGAGTATAAGACAATGATGGCTATATCATTACTGCCACCTAGCCACCAGCTATCCTATCAATAATGATATTTAAATGTGAGGGGGGAAAGTCCAAGATCAATGTATGATGTGTGCATTTCTATATTTACCATGATGCAGAACTGTCAACGCTGTTAAACATCCAGGTACAGAGGTCAAGGAGGCCAGGGTGTGATGTGAGTCTGAAGCTTAGGGGAGGGGCAGGGAGAGAGATGGGTTTGCAGATTTGGCATCCATAAGCATTAGGATTATAGTCATGCCCACGGGCCTGCGTGTAACCACTGAAGCAAAATCTAAAGAAGAAAGCTGATGTTTAGTCTTGGGTTACTCAAAGGTTCAGAACAGGAGCCAACCAACCTGACAGAGTTGGCTGGGTTGTGGCAGTTATGTGGCATCCCTGAAACTGAGGAGGGGGACTGTCACCTAGATCAAGTGCTGCTGAGGTCCAGTAGGAAGAGAATAGAAGGGTGACCACTGGACTGAACAGCATGGAGGTCATGAGCAACCTTAACAAAAGAACTTTCCATGGCTGGGGCTAGCCTCTGTGTGTCTACCTGGACGATAACCAGATGGCTTGGACTAGGCTGAGGAGTGAGAGTGAGAGGAGGTTAGGTGTTCAGCCTCTTTGGGCAGTTGTATTGACAAAAGTACAGCCAAGCAAGGCAGTGGGGTGTCCTTTTCCAAAGGTGTTAGGCATGTTTGAATGCTAATTCAGCAAGACGAGACAGCTGGCTCAGGAGAGGTCAACTGTAATTGCAAAGTGCTTGAGAAGGCAAGAGGCATGTGATCCAGGACACAAGGGGAAAGGCTCAGCTTTGGACAGAATCACCATCCATCGCAACAGAAAGATGGCAGAGACAGCGGGCACAGAGGCAACTCTCCGGGGACTCTGTCCAAGTTTCCAGGCTTCACATCGCTGTCCTTCTCAACTCTAACAAATCCCCGCCATCCTCAGGCCCCTGGTCGGTCCCACCTAGGGTTGGGTCTTATTTCCGCATTTAATTAGTCACTCCAAGTGCGAGCTGGGCGAGGACAACTGGCAGACGGTTCCCTGACCCCATTCATCAGCCCCCTGGGGGGCCCTCTACAGCGGCTCAGCTTCCCAACCGCTGTCACCACCTAACTGGCAGGGTTGGAGGAGCGCGGCCCACAGAGCAGCCAGCCTCCCGCTGGGTGTTTTTCCACTTCCTGCCCCTGCGCTTGCCAGCCTGGACACCCACCGATTCTAACCGCAAACGCCCCACCCTCGCCAAGGTTTCCGACGTGGCGCTGCTGAATGCGCAGGCTCAGTACCAGTGGCTGGTGGAGACCTGACAAACGGGCGAGGGCGGTGACGTCAACGCGCAGGCGCGCGCGGGCAGGGCCGCGCCACGTAGGTGCGCAGCGGCCGCGCCCCCTCCCGGTGGCCGCGGCCCCAACTGGCTGCTTGACTTTGTGGCGCTCGCACTCGCGCGCACAGCTCTCCGGGCCCGCGAGTCCGCCGCCACCGCCGCTGCCGTCCGGTCCCCTGCGAAACGTGGTTGCATCATGTCTTCGCCTCCCGAGGGGAAACAAGAGACGAAAGCTGGACACCCGCCCGCTGGTACTGACTCGTTTCCACTTTCTCTCCTCTAGCGGGTCCCGAGGGCGGGCTCGAACTGGTGGGCGCGGGGCGCCGGGCGGGGAGGCCCGGGCTCATCGCCCGGGCGCAAGGCGCTGGAGCTCGCCAACCAGCCCGAGACCTGTCCACGCGTCGGGTTTTCAGTTAAACTGACGTCCGCGTTAGGCGAAACCCATTTCTTTAAAGTATGTGAAACATCCGAAGCCTGTGGCAGTTGCATGCAAATTAGGATGACTTGAATAAGAAAAGTTGCAAAACTTCCAAAAAAAGAAATGGGGGCGGTGAACACTTTCTTAGAATGTACAGATGTTTTGGAAAAACGAGTAGCCACCACAATTAAACGACAGGGTGCTGATTACATGTACGTTGACGGCATAATGGAAAAAGAACCAAAAGAGTGGAAATAATTTTTATCATTAATCTATATGACTTTTTCCCGTTTCTTTCACATCCAGCTTTTTCTCAAAAGTGGAGTTTTTGTGTGTGTGTTTTGGGTTGTGTTTTTTTTCCTCCCAAATTCTAATTTCTGAGCCAAGGAAGTTTAAATCCAGGAAAGAGTTGCCTTTCTTAGAAAATCTGTGAGTAGCCCTCTGTCCATTCCACCTCTTCCCCTTTCTGAGAACAGTCCCTTCAAGGCAGCTCCTTTGCTCCGTTCCAGCCGCCGACTTCCATTCTGCTCACCTTTGGAAAGACAGTGATACCCGGGGAAAGGACACTGGGTGAGAACAGAAGATACCTGGGTCCCAGAAGCCAGGTCACTTCAACGTGGGGGGCTCCTTAGGGTCTTCATTGCACACATTAGTATTATAAACTCAGTCTTCTAGTGACAGAAACCTTTGAATGACACAACCTGGCTGCTTTGTGTGGCATGGTCGTGCCCCCTTCTAGTTACAGGAAAGATTCCCATAATCTCCATCTGCTGTCTTGTCCCCCCACAATAGGGCACTCATGCTCTGCTCCAATGGGATGAACAGAGCTGCTCTTTGTGGTGCATTCCAAAGTAGTACCTTTCACTGGTAAAAGAATCTCTGAGCAAGAAAACTAGCCCGGACTAGGGAAGGAAAATGGCTGATGCCCGAGGACTTAGGAGGCATGGGATTTTAGAAAATAGTTCCGCTGTGGTAGAAAATAGGCTTTGGGGGCCTGTGTATTGCATTAGTTTAAAAAAAAAAAAAAAAGTACCTCAAAGAGATTGTCTGTAAAGATAACCTGACCTTTTTAGTTCCTACCTCAACGGGGTAGTAGTGCTCTCCTCCAGCTGTCCGGAGCACCTTCCTTTACACTTCCTCCTCCCCAGGGCATTGAGTGGCAGGCAGTAAAGCGTATATGTAGGGGTCATGCCAGATCAAAGTAGTAGTAGTAAGTAAATTGCATATGGAGACATATCCTTATGGAGATTGTTAAGATCACAGACATGCATTTTACTTCCCTGGGAGAAAGTCCATGGAGGACTTTGGTTTTCTTTGAATTGTAAACAGCTGGGGTGTGTGAATTACAAATTAAATAGCTTACTGATGCCAGAGGAGAAAGGAATAAACTTATTTGTGCTGATTGTAGCAGTGAATTTGGGTTCTAAGTTTTGAGACCCAGCGCTTCTCCAGGGCTTAGTTTTCCTGATCTGCGAAATGGGAGTTTGGGGCCAGATGATCTGGGAGAGTCGCAGAGCAGGACTGCCTTTGCCACTGTGACCTTCACTGGAGCTCTGTCCCTTCCACCTATCAGGATCTGAGTCCAAGGGCAGTGAATCCCATGGACACACTCTAAAGTGACTTCAAGGCAGGTCCATTAGCCCATGAATCCCAATCTGCTTAAGAAGCTGTCACCGTCGTCCCCCCTTTTCCAAGGCCGGTCATGTTTGGCTGGAGTTGGAGGTGGAACCTGGCACACTGGCCCAGAGGTACAGGTTAGAGAAGACCTTTGGTCAGCTGCAGTATTTTGCCTCAGATCCACTTTCCCCTGTGGAACAGAGGCCCATGTGGGAAAGCTTTTTTTGGCAAAAAGCAGAGTGTATTAGGGTATTCCTATTTATTCTGGCGTGGCTGGAGAGTAGGCAGTGCTGCAGAGTTGATGTCTAAAAAATAATAAAGGCAACCCACTATAATAAAGGATGATCATCAAGGATAGCCAAGAACACAGTTCATAAATCAAAATTACAGCCTTGAAAACTTTGGGTACACCTTCATTAAGTGCTTAAATTGGATGACACAGACTTGTGCTTAAATCCTCAATCGGAAACAATAAAATTCTCTTTCACGACTATCTTCAGCTCTTTTGTGTTTTCTCGTTACTGCTGTCTGAACCAGGTAGCCTCCTGTGCGTTCATTCCCACAACGTCACGTTTCCCTCCACCTGTCTCTCTTCTAGCTTCTGATGGTGGGTCATACCACTGTCTTCATCCCCGGGCACAAAGTGTTTGATATGTAGCTCCTGAATGAGTTTTCTTAGAGCCTCTCAGCAGCTCTCACTTCCCGGTAGCTGGTGGGGCCTGCAGTGTTCTCTACTGGGCTGACTCCAGTGTACAGTTTAGGCAGCATTATAATAGTGCAAATAGTAACTAACGTTTGCTGAGGGTTAGATACAGTGTCCCTGGTATAGGAGAGGAAAAATAATTTTCCCTTTACCCTTATAGGTTCTTGGCTGAAACAACCCTCTCCAAACTGCAAAGACAGAATAATAAGAGAAAAACAAAAAAGTTTAGTAACAGGGATACTTCCTCCATACAAGAGAGAGACCAGGAAAACAGTAACTCCCTGAAATGGCCACCACCTTAAATACTTCAATTGAAGACAAGAGAAAAACACGGGGTTGGGGGGGGGGGGCGGCAGTTATGGGAGGTTTCCAGGAAAACCAGGGCAAGGTGGTTGTGCAGATTTAAGGTTCTCTTGTGATCTAGTCCTCCTTCCGGTTCTAGTACAGAGAAGGAGACGCTGACAAGATTTCCATTACAAATGTAAATGTTCTTTACAAAAGGGTAGCTCTTCAGTTTTCTGAGCTTTTCCTTCTTTGCTGTTGTTAATCAGCTCACAATAACCTTTATACCAAAAAGGCATGTTTAAGGGTTGGCATATTCTGCTTCCTTTCACTGGCCCTGTCCTAAGCCCTTTCACTCACTTAATTAGCAGTCACCTTGCAGTTGGCGTAAAGAGAACAAGTCTGTTTTAAAAACTGACCAAACCAGAGTGTCTCCTTTCTGAGCCAGTAAGTTCAAGGGCAGCAGCCTGTAGGTCCTTTGCCTCTTGGAACCTCAGCAGCCCTTCTCGACAACGTTCTCCATCCCTTGCCATGTGTCTCCCCCGTTGTGTGAGATTAATGAGGCTGTTCGCAGAGGCTTCTGCAGAGTGTGGAGGAAGAGTGCTGTGCAGATACAGAGCACGTTACTGATGAGCGGGGGCAGCATGCCGCACCACATCCTGGCCCTGTGCTCCCTCAGCCAGTCCAGTGCTCTGTGAAAGTAATTAAGTCTGAATGATTGCAGACTTCCCCACTGCCCTGGACTACAAAATATCTGCGGAGAAATGGCGTGAGGCTGCTTGTTCTATGAGACTCACTGCAAGTGCAGATCAGCAAAGGCAGAATCGGCGAGGCTCTGTCCCATCTAATCGTGCTAGGATGCCTCGGAAGAAGGAGGACGCAACTATAAGCCACGCGATCACTCATTTCTGCCACTCTTCTTCAGTTGGTGGCAGCCATGTGGCCAACCTGTCTTTGTTAAATACATTTCGCTGGCCCTGGTCTCCCCCACTTCCCAGGGAAGCCAAAGCCCTATGTCAGTAAAGTTCTCATCAACCTAATAAGTGATATTGCTGCGCATTAGTAGTTTTATGTATGGTTATGAACCGTATGCACAAACCATCTCTCCTCGAACTGAGTCAAATGGAAATATAAAACTATTTATTGAAAGTTAAAGGAGAAATAGACCGCTTCACCTTTTTTAGTAATTTCAAAATCAGTTTTTTTGCTATATGAAGCAGTCAGACTCAAGGATGCATTTGACAGGTTGTGGGTGATAAATCTCCCCAAATTATCTTCTGCAGGAAGGTTTTTATATTCTCTAGGCCACTCTATTGCTAGAAATGGAAGACTAATTAGTTTTTATTGCAGCAACCCTATAGTCGAGGCTTGCTCAGCACGCCCTGCTGCCCTCAGCCCTCCGGGATCAGTGCCTGCAGATACAGGAAGGAGGTCCGTCTGCCTTCGCCCCGGCCACGCCAAGAAGAGAGGCCCTTTTAGTCACTGCCTTTTTTTCAGAAGCTTCCCGTCAGAGTGGACGGCAGCATTTCTAAGGCTGTCTGAGACCCCCTCTGTCCTCCAGCGCCCATCCTTCTGCGCATGTCCTTTTCAGACAGTGCCTGGTGCACTCTTACTCGGTCTTGTGAACCTTTCCCCTTCCCCACTTCAGAAATCTTTCTGAGTGCAAAGGGAATATCCATTTTTTTATAAAATACTGTACATTACTTACAGTTACATTGTACTCGCTCTTCTCACAAACAACCCAGAATGGCAGTGGCTGAACAAGCCAAGGTGTATTTCTCAGGCGGCACCTTCCGTAAGACCGTGGGCAGAGGCGCAGGCCCCTGCTGGCGCTCGGCTCTGCCGTCTCAATGCCTGGCCTCTGCGGAGGGGACAGCAGGTGTCGAACGCAGTGCAGGGGCCTCACCAGGGTGGTGTGCTGATGCCGCCCTGGTGAGGGTCAGCTGCCCACGTCCGAGGAGAGCCACGCGGGGAGCAGTCTGTGGGGAGCACTCTGTGGGGTGTCACTTATTCTTCCACAACCCCAGGAGTCTGCAGTGCCACCCACATTTCACATGTGAGAAAACAAGTGAGGAGCCTTCCATGCAGCAAGGACTCGAAGACTGAAGGTCTCCCTGAGCACTGGGTGCCAGTCGTCAAAGCCCGTGCAATGAGTGGATGCAGGTGGAGCCTTTGCCGTGGGCCAGGTCCCACTGGAGGTGCTGCACGCGTGCCGTCTCTTAGTCCTCCGAGAACCTCCGAGGGGCGGGGGGCATTGTCGCCTAGAGGCAGTTAGCACCTCACCCAGACACACACACACACATGCATGTGAGCACACAGGCAGAGCTGGGATTTGAACCCAGGAGTCTGGCTCAACCGGGGAGATCATTGAACCCGGGAGATCATTGCCTTTAACCTCCGAGTGGCACTTCTGCTTGAAGGAAGCTTGAAATTCTTTAAATCTGAAGCTCTTGTTTGAATAACAACTACAACAAAAGTCCAAGATTTTTTTTCTAATGTCTCTCATAAAATACTTACATTTTCAGATATTCCACAAAGATTTCTGCAAAGTAATTCTGCCTTCACATTTCCACAAATGGAGAGTTCTAGTGACAATGACGAAAACCCAATCAATACTGGCTGTCATATTTTTTGGCAGGACTGGCATTTAAAATAAATCTGTCTCAGCCTTGAGTTATTATTATTATTGCCACTTTTCATTGCTGTATTAATCCCTGTGCATACTGTGCGGGTGAATGAAGGGAATGGGTTCCGTCCACTGAGTTAAGGAAGCACTAGGCAGAGCGGCCGAGCTCCGCCCTGTGCACGCGCGTCAGCAGAGGCGCGGACAGGCCTCCGCGAGCCTCAGATGACAGTAACTTCACACGTCACCTCGAGTGGTTTTCTTTGCAGTTACTTGCACGGTGCTTATTACTTTTAGTTTTAGGAAATACCTGTGAGTTGTAGTTTTAAAGATTTATGTCTGCCAAGTTGAAATGATTCAGAGATTACTTTTAAATGGGCAGCTGTATTAGTTTTTTCAGGCTACTATAACAAAATACCACAGACTGGGTAAGTTAAGCAACAGAAATTTATTTTTTCAGCAGTTCTGGAGGCTGGAAGTCCAAGATCAAGGTGCTGGCAGGTCTGGTTTCTCCTGAGGCCTCTCCTTGGCTTGCAGACGGCTACCTCCTCACTGTGTCCTCATGTGGCCTTTCCTCTGTGCACCTGCATCCCTGTCTTTTCTCCTTGTTATAAGGATGCCAGTCCATTGGATTAGGGCCCCACCTGGCAGCCTCTTTTTAAGCTGCTCACCTCTTTCTGAAGCCCTATCTCCAAATACATTGACATTCTGGGGTTATTGGGATTAGAACCTCAACATAAGACTTTGGAGAGACCACAGTTCAGCCCATAATAGCACTCCTAATCAACTTCTAATGGACATGCGATGGGGGTGGGATACCTGGGGGAGGAAAATGAATGGGGAAAAAAATTCAGTGGGACAATTCTTCCTGCCTCATTTGTCAAAGAAAAATCATTTCAATAGAGTGGTAAATTATCTTAAACCTGCTACGGAATTTTATTTAGTCTCTATTTCTTAAGGCTTGGCATACTGCATAACTGGGAAATTTTGATGAGCCACCTGCAGATTTTTTGTTCGTTTTTTTTTTTTAAATCTGAGCCCGAAGTGAGGGACATCCTGGAAGTGAGGGAGCCAAACTAGAGAGGAAACTGAAATCTGTAACAGTATGATCTTTGAGCCCACACAAGGCAGAGAGTGACCTGATATCCCTGCCTTTTCTTATAAAGACACTGGTCATACTGTTGTGCCTTAGAGCCCACCCGAACAGCCTCACTTAACCCAAGACCACTGCAGGAAGTGGGGTGCTCAGAGGGCAAGTCCATGAAGAAAGGGCGGAGGAAAGAACTGGCCGGTGGGATGGTGGGAAAGCTGTTCTGGCTCAGCCGGTGTTCCTTGAGGATTTGTGAACGCAGGCCTGCCTTGGGCTGCGGGTTCAAGTTCACACTGTCTAGCAGTTCCTGAGAAATCTGACTAGAAAGGGCTCCCAGGCGCCTGTACTCCTGGTCTCACAGAGCACCTCTAGCGTCTCTCCAAAAGGACGCCACCCACGTGCCAAGCCCCGGAGCATCTCCACAGACAAAGCCCCACTGAGAACAAACCCCCACCCCACAGTCACTGCAACAACAGCAAGAGGCAGCAGACAGACAGCTCATGGGACTCCCGAGGACCTCAGATAATAAAACAAGTGGATAGAGACCTGTAAGACAAGTATGTCTACAGTGATTAAACGTTTAAAAGAAGTAAAAGTATGAGGAATGAATGAAACCCTGCTTTGCCTTTTTCCAGTGGACACCACCAGGTACTACTGGCCATGAAGTGGGCATTGTGGGCTCCCTGAAGCCACAGGCCGGCACACGCTCCCAGGGACATTGAAAACAAAGAACCTCGAAGTGTGGGAGCCCAGGAGGCATTTCACATTTTTTTTCCTGTTCTTCGGGATCATAAAGACTTGTTCTGGACTTCCCTGATTCAGCAGGGTCCAAGCAAATCTGAAATGCCAGAGGCCATGGCCTGATAAGTTGTCTGTGTTGTGTGAGGGGCACTGAGCTGTGGCAGAACGCTGGGAGTGGCCGTCCTGAGGAGGGAGGGCGAGGCGTGGTGAGCCTGGGGCCCCCTGAGTGCTTTCTGCAGGTACTCCCCTGTGCGAGACTACCAGCACCTCTGACTTCACCCATCTCGGCTGCTGTAACAGACTGCCGCAGACTGGTGGCTTATAAACACAGTTGTTAGGCTGGGAGTCCGAGGTCAGGGTGCCAGCAGATTCAGTGTCTGATGAGGGGCCATTTCCTAGTTCTTAGACAACTGTCTTTTCTGGGTCCTTATGTGGTGGAAGGGGAAAGGAAGCTCTCTGGAGTCTCCGTATAGGGGCTCTAATCCATTTTGGAGGGCTCTCCCCTCATGACCTAAACACTTCCCAAAGGCCCCACCTCTAAACACCATTACACTGGGGGCTTAGGATATCAACAGCCTCTTCTCATTTAAACTTCTAGATCTTACAGTGCTGCTTCTGTCCCCTTCTTGCAGATGAAACAGTGAGGCTTTGAGGGGCTGAGTCAGCAACCATATAGCTGAGGGCATGGAGGAGCTTGCCAATCCCAAAGCATGTGCTAGTGACCACATAAGGCTGGCTTTTGGGTATAGGGCCAGCGTTTTCAAACTCCATTCTATGGAATACTCTAGTCCTGCGGATGATAGCCTGAATTACTGGGACGGGAGGGGGGCTAAAAGTTTGGTGGTATGTTTAGGGAAGGTAGCATACTCTGCCCTTACAAGGCTTCCTAACACACACTAAAGGGTGAGAAAATCTGGCTTGAAGAAGCCCCTTTCATTTTGTTCACCTAGCATTTCCCACACTTAATAGACCCCAGAATTGGCTTTTTTCCTTGCAAAACAATCTTAATATATTAGCCAGTAAGGAAAAAGAAATCTAACTACAGTAAGATAGCACTTTAGACCCTCTAGGTTGGTTATGATTTAAAAGATAGATAACAAGTGTTGGTGAGCATGTGAAGAACTGGAACCCCCAGACTGGTTGGAACAGAAAATGGTGCTGTGACTTGGGAATTCCTCAAAATGGCAAATAGAGAGTAACTGTGTGACCCAGCTATTCTACTGCTAGGTGTGTACCCAAGAAAATGAAGGTTTGTGTTCACCTATCCACACAGAAACTCGTACACAAGTTGTCCATGGCTGCATTATTGAGTGAAGTACTGACACATGCTACAACAAGGATAAACCTTGAAAGCATTATGTGACGTGAACGGAGCCAGGCACCACGGCCACATGTTCTATGATTTCATTTATGTCCAGAACAGGCAAATCCAGGTGACTGGTTGCTGGGAAGGAGGGACTGGGGAGTGACCATTCGTGATTTGGGGATTCCACGCAGGACGATGAAAATGCCCTCGAGTTGATTGTGGTGGTTGCACAGCTCCACAGACACGCAGAAACCACTGAATTGTACACTCTCAGTGGGTGAACTGCACTGTCTGTGAAGTATGTGGCCCAGGGATTTTAAAAACTAAAATGACATCTGCCAAGACTCACATTCACAACACAGTTTGGGGTCTTAGCTGCCACCTGAGTAGCCCCTGTGACTGGCACAGCAGCATCACCAGGGACTGTGTCACCCCATCAGAAGCAGCGCTGGAGGTAAATACCATATGAGTTCACTTCCATGTGGAATCTCAAAAACAAACAAAATGAAGACAGACAAACTCAGAGAACAAAATGATGGTTGCCAAAGGGGAGAGGGTGGGGGTGGGCAGAAAAGGGCAAAGGGATTAGAAGTACGAACTTCCAGTTATGAAATAAATCACAGGGGTGTAAAGTATAGCATAGGGAATAGAGGCAATAATAGTGTAATAACTGTACAGTGACAGACGTAACTAGATTTATCGTGGTGATCACTTTGTCTCAGGCATATTGAGTCACTATGTTGTACACCTGAAAATAATATAATACTGTGTGTCGACACTAATTGAGAAATAGAAAATAATGCAGAACTATTCAGATTTTAAAAATCGTCAGTGTTTGAGAACATATCACAGGCAGGGATTCCGTGGGACCTCGTTGCACTGAGGAGATGTACAGAACCTAAAGCAAGCAGCCACTTCACCCACGTGGTTGGTACTCCAGCTACACTGCTGCTTCTATGAAATGCTGTGAGACCAAAAATTAACAAGAGCCCTGCGGAATTTCTAAGTGCGTCCGGAGGGAAAAGAGCTCTGAGTGCCACATCACACTGACTCTTCTGCAGCAACACTAACCTATCAGTCCTTGTCGGCGCCAGGTCATCTGGACTAACTATGGCCACAGGGCAACCCAGAACTTTCGAGCCAGCTCCCTGGGTCCTCTGGTAGTTCCATTTCCACGCTGATCACACCTCCCCCGTTGTTGTTGTTTTTTTCTAGTGAAAGCTGGCGGAATGCGAATTGTGCAGAAACACCCACATTCTGGAGACACCAGAGAAGAGAGGGACAAGGACGACCAGGAATGGGAGAGCCCCAGGTGGGAGAGCGTGGCTCAGTCTCGAGCACGTGTCACGAATAATCGTTTTGAGTTAAACATTAATGTTTGTTCTCTGCTGTGTACTCTGCTCCTGATAACTTCTGGGCAGTTTGGGCCCCTCCTGTGTACTTTCCATTTCCTAATCAGTGAGGTGCGGGTCCTGTCCTCAGACTGGAGACAAGTGGGGAACCGAGAACGCACCCTCTTTCCTGCCTGTATCTGAGCACATGCTGTCAGTCTGTGGGCAGCACCCGGAGACCTTTGAAAAGGCCAGACTAGTTGAATCTTTGGGGTGTGTCTGGCCTTCTGCACAGTCAGGGTAGAGAATTGATGAGGGGTTTTTTTTTATTATTATTTTATTGTTGTTCAATTATAGTTGTCTGCATTTTCTCCCACATTTGGGCTTTCCCAGTTCTTCAACCAAATTGAGAATCGGCGTAGCCACTCCCTGGTGTCCTTAAATGACATCTCTGTCCCCAGCCCTCTGGGTCCCAGACACCTCATCTCCCTGCATTCCCCATCTCTGTTTATTGTTTTCCTTAGAGGTTCTAATGTCAGGTTTGGTTCAGGGACCTCGGTACCGATCCATTTCCTCCCAGCTTGTAATACACAAACATGCACCACTGATGCATCGCCTCTCTGAGCTTGTGCACATGGGAGAAAGTGGACACCAAGCTTTCTGCCTTACAGCTTGTCCTGGAGGATGTCTCCATAAAAGGAAGAAGCAAAGTGTGAAAGGGTGTGGAGAGCAGCCAGCCTATATTTCTGTAGATCAGACACATTATTTAATTTCAGTCCAGTGGTCCCGAATGGGAGGTGATATTCTCCTGACTTACATGTAGGAAACTCAAGTCCAGAGAGGTGCACCTTGCAAGTTAACAAGGCAAGAGTTTAAACCCTACCCGGGTCCAGAGCAGGCCAGGTTTCCAACTGACTTGCTTCCATAAGCTCATGCCCCCTGAAAACGGTGCACAGGTTCCCGGTGGCCCCGTGTAGGCACCATGTGTCTGTTTGTATGTGTGCCGAACACTCTGTGGGTCTTCAGATAGCATGAGTTACCCTGCAGGCACCCGAGGGGCGGGCAAAATTCGGGGTGAAGTTTCTGAGTGATTCTGGCCCATTTTCATGAGATCAGCAACATAAAGGTTCAGGCTAAGTTCTGGTTTTAAAAGAAGTGGTATAAAGAAAATTCTTTCTCACTGACCACTTTCTCAAAGCTGTGTTCAGAATATAATATCACCAGTAACTCTTAAAGGGCCATGGTCCTCTATCTGAAGACCTTGGGCCCTGCTTTATTTCAGAACTGAGAAATTCTGCTTTTCTGTGTGTGTTTCAGCGGTAAGGTGCAAAGAGCTTTTTCCTGCGTAACACAGTGTCAATACAGTGAGAGATAATAATTTACTAGCATTTTTAGAAATAAAGACAGAACAGCCCATTCATTTTCTTCCTATTGATTTTTTTCATGAGGGAAAATACAGCTTTTATGACAGATGCGCCATTTAAATAAATTTGCCAGGGAATGAACAACTGCAAGAGAAAGGAGCAGGTGCCCACGACTCTAGAGTTCAGCATCTCTTTGTTAAGGTTCGAGTTCTCTACAGAACTGAGTACTGTGGAGCAGACTGACCGCGGAGCAGGGTCTGCATAAGACATGAGCAAGGGTCTTTTGTCCCCTGCAACCAAAAGGCTATAATGTTCCCTGCGGGTGTGTTAGCGCTTATCCTCCGGACTTCAGCTTCACTCCTGACCACTGAGGTGAAGCCACTTGACACACCATGGACGGATGGGTCAGCTCTGTGGAGTCAGGCTGCTGACCTCTGCTGCCAGCACAGCTCCTTCCCACCCTGCACCGGGCCTGCTGCTCTGCGTGATGGTTTACCTCCACCGCTAGGCTCTCCTCACCTTCTCGTGAGCCGACTGAATAACTGTAGTCAGTCGTCATCCCTGTATTTTCGAGTGCAGTGAGTCTGGCCCTGTTCCAAATGCTCTGCGAGTATTAATCTCCTGGGTCTTTGTAAGGACTCTACTGTCATCCCTATTCCAAAGTTGGTTATTGATTATTGTCCCCATCCCAGATTACTACTCCCACTTCAGCAGCTCAGGGAGGTCAAGTGACTTGTCCAAGGTCACACAACGAATGAGTGGCAGAGCCAGCATCAGCGCTGGCAGCTGCATTTGGAGGCCTCGCTGTTGGCTGCTAAGCTGTGCTGACCAGCGGTGTGCCTGTTTTGTGCAGGGCACTACTAAGTGCTTTACATCAAGTTCAAAGTGCAGCCCACCTGTGTGTTGATGTGATCATGAGAGAGGTGAAGAAGCCAAGGCTTAGGGAGGCCATCCGGCCCAGTGATACGTAGCTAGTCAGCAGCTCAGCCAGGAGTCAACCCTGAGTCTGTCTTGACTTGGACTCCTGTGCTTCTAATATGCTGCACAATTCCCTGGATTTGCCAGAATATTTCTACAATCAGCATAGACTGTCAATCTGGATCCCCTTAGAAAACCAGGCAGTTGATTCTGGCATTGCCCAAACCTTTTCCACATCTCTTGAGCCTATATTCCTACCCATGCAACCTCACCATCAGGAGATGGTCTAATCATCAGTTTAAAACAAGGTTCAGGTGACTGGAAATACTTCACGTGTGGAAAGGCCTTTTTTTTTGTTTTTTTTGCAGAATTTGTCAAACATTTAGTTGTTCTCTTGGAAATGTCCTGGCATGTGACTTCAACATCCCCATTACCCTAATCCTGAAGCTTCATGTTTTCATGTTTGGGTTCAAAGTGTTCTCTGCAAATGAAAATAAGCAAATAGTCTCAGGTGCCAGTTTCCTTCTTTGCAAAACATTTTACTTTCTTTTCCGAAGTTTTTTAAACTGGCTCTGTGTTTACCATCTCTCCTGTGGTGGCTTCCTTCCTCATTAATCTGATCATCAAACAATGATTACAGGCAGGAAAAACTGGAGCATTAAAGAGGTTATTATGTGACCAAACGTACCAAAACCACAGCTCTTCCTCATCATTATTGTTATTGCAAATATTTATACTATTCTTAATCCCTTTAATCTTATCACTTTCCAGCAATTTACGAATAATTTCCTGTTGTCAAATTGTTTTTGAGGTGCTACATTTTTTAAAAGGGCAAGGGGAGGGCACAGCAGAAATTTGAAAAGATGGCCCAAGTATTAATGTCCAGCTGACATGGCTGCCTGTGGCTCTTCATGTCCAAGAAGAGTGATAGCATTTCCTGTTATTAGCTAATGCTCTCCTGAATGGCTGCCAGTTTCTACCTGAGAAGCTACCCAGTTAAGGAAAGCCGTGATTCTCCTCAAAGCCCTTTGTTGAACGAGTTGTGTTGTGTAAAGAAGTTGCGGGCATAGAATGGGCATCAGGAGTCAGTAGGAGCCGCTAAAGAAAGCAGTTTCATGTCGAATGTGCACTGAGGTCCTACCACAAGTCTGGCTTGGTACAAGATAACAAGCAGGGTGGATAGGTGGCAGGAAGCATACGCTAGAAGTGCAAGAGGTCAGGTGTGGACTGGAGATGGGCAGGGATGTGGTGAAAGTCAGGGGACATCCGGACAGGTAATAAGGCTGAGGAGGGGGCAGCCCTTCTCTCTGAGCTCAGCTCTTTATAGGTCTAATTAGGACCATGGCCCTCTCTCACATACCCAAAAAATAAGCATACGGTTAAACCACCCAGCATGTGGGACAGACCTATTGTGGAATGCAAATAGTAACAGATGAATCTAACTGTAATACAAATGGTTACTATAACCAATTGAAAGGAGTGGAAGAAAAGACCTAACTAACCTAAGTAACTTTGGAAAACAGTATTTTGGCTGGATGCTGTAAGGCTAAGAATAAAAACCCTCAAACAAAAAATACACGAAAATTGTATACTCCAATAAGGAAATGTGTTTCTTACAGGAGTTATGTATGTATGGGCTTAGGAATTCTGAAATTGCTTTATGTGTGTACTAAGACTGAACAAATAAGTAAATAGGCTGTGGGTACTGCGAGCCAACTTGCTTACTCTCAGAGTAAGGTTCCTACAAATAGGAAAGAAAAAGACTAAAATGAGCTTCAGGGTGTGGACTCGGAATTGGAAGGAATAGTTGAACTCATAGATTTGGATGGATGGGTAGGTGGGCAGGTGGATAGTAGATACCTACAGGTACACACCTACATGCAGAAGTAGCTCGAGATGGGGTACATGTACATGTACATGTCTAGATTTGTACATGTCTGCATTTCCTAGCTGTATTCACTGAGAAGACCTAAAAAAAACTGATCCCCATGTAGCCATGAGCATCCTAAGGGCCCAGATCTGGGTTTCTAAACCCATTCCCCAGTCAAGGGAACCAGGGTTTCCTGGAGAAGTGGTTAGTCCAGGGTCAGAGGAGGAAGAGTAGCACACGAGCCTGGGACAATTTGTGGTGCCGGAGCATGAGGAATCACACCAAACAGGACAGGGCTTGTCAGAAGCACTCGGGCGCCAGCCTGCAAGAGCTCCTGATGGCCCAAACTGGGACGATCTAACACAACAAAATTAATAATGGCAGTATTGGGCTCTAACCCACAGAGTAAAGATAAACATCCATCAGTCAACCCTGAGATAAATAAGAAGGGACAGCTCTTTGTAGAAGAATTTTCAGTTAATAAATGTAAAAGGAAGGAGGGAACCAGACCATCACCAACAGGCAAACAGCACAGTAATGGTGTCCCTAATGGTGTCCCACAGTAGACAAGGTCCACCGATGGGTGCTGTGATTAGTAGGTGAAAGTTTGAGAAAAGATGGGCTAGTTGCAGAGTCTCATAGAATCTCTCCCAATGCATTTATTAATTATACAACGGAGAGTGTTGTTTCTATGGAAACTACCAAACGAATGCCTGTTTCACTGGCAAAGCTGAAATAAGAAGGCAGAGCATCATGTTCGACCTCCTGGGGAAACCAGGCTGCTTGTCGGCTGCCTTTTAAAGGAGCGGTATCCTTTTCCCCATGGTGC